GAACAAACCCAAAATTTGACTTGCCAATTCCAAGTCGTTTAGAAGTTACGGCCATTTGAAATTTTAGGGTCATACCCCTTTTTAGCTATCAATTATGACATATTTGTAAAGTTGCATTTTCAATTAGCCATATCTTCAAATAGAATAAAGATAATTAACTGAAAATTGATATCTAGACTAACTTTTGGCTGTAGAACAGGAATATGACATGACTTTTGGTATACCGGACCCCGTTACGAAAATATTGGTTCGTAAACACCCAAACTTATTTGGTTGTGTAATTTTTCTTCCATTTTTAGACCCCATTAAAATACCCAAATCAGTTATTAAATGGGTCTTATGCAACAAATTATTAATATATACTTGGAAATGTTTCACCAACAAAAATTCCGGATTTTTAACTTATCATTTTAGGGGGTAATCATAGGTCAAAAGGTCATTCGGGACAAAAATGCCTCGTTTTCATGGTGACCTTTGACCCTGTGGGCAAGTACGCTTGTTGTTAAAACTTGCACCATTAATTAATTTACATATGATGATCAGATGTTCCAACTATCAGCTGGGTGTCTTTATCCCTTCATGTTTAAAAAGCGATTTGAAAAGGGGTATATTTTTCAATTTGCGACAGTATCAGTGCGTAAATGTGATAAAATTAATTTTTGAATAACAATAATTTTAAAAATAATCTGCCTAGACCCTTGAAACTTCTAATTCTAAAACAACTTTATGTGCTTATTTCAGGCATGCAGTTCGTTAAGGTATATAGTGTTTCATTAGTAAGATATGTCCCCCCAAAAATAGCCCAAGTGCAAGAATTGCGCAATAAAATTGTATTTACTGTTGATTTCAAATGAGCATAATATTATCCGTGTACTGTCTAGAGCCGTGAAACTTTTCATTCTAGGACAACTTTTTGTGTTGATTTCAGTTATGCAGTCTGTTAAAGGGATAAATTGTTTAATTAGTAAGATATTATGCCCCAAAAATGGCCCAAGTGCAAGAATTGTGCAATTAAAATGTGTTACGATTGATTTCAAATGAGCATAATATTATCTGTGAACGGTCTAGAGGCATGAAACCTTTCATTCTAAGACAACTTTTTGTGCTGATTGCAGTTATGCAGTTTGTTAAAGGGATGCATTGTTTAATTAGTAAGATATTTTGCCCAAAAAATTACCCAAGCGCAAGAATTGCACTATAACATTGTGCAACTATTTTAGTATTTAAAATGAGTATAACATTAACAGTGTACAGTTCAGAACCATGTAACCTTAAATTCTAGTACATATTTGTACACTTATTTAATTCATGCAGTTTGTTAAGGGATACAGTCTTTTATCTTACTAACTAATAGTTAGTAAGATAGTTTGCCCCAAAAATGGCCCAAGTGCAACAATCGAGCAACATTGTGTGAAATTGAATTTAAGTGAGCATAAATTTTACATTGTACTGTCTAGAGCCATGAAACTTTTACTTCAAAAACAACCTTTTGTGCTTATTTCAATCATGCACTCTGGTGGTAAGGGACACAATGTTTAATTATTAAGATATTGGGCCCCCAAAAGTGGCTCTTGTGCGAGAATGGTGAAAAGCACTGTTATTTCACAATTCTGGGGTCGGTACAATATCTTACTAATTAAAGACTGTGTTCCTTACCAGCTACGTGACTGAAATAAGCACAAAAGGTTTTCTAGAATTAAAGGTTTTATGGCTATAGGCAGTAGTACACTGATAATATTGTGCTCATATTTAAAATATATGTTACTATGCAATTCTTGCACTTCTTGAGCCATTTTGGTGCAAAATATCATACTAACTAACCACTCTGTCCCTTAACAGATGTCATGAATTAAATAAGCATACAAATGTGTACTAGAATATAGGTTTCATGGTTCTAAACAGAACACTGTTAATGTATGTATCATTTGAAATATATCAATATATAGTCGCACAATGTTATTGCGCAATTTTAGCACTTGGGCCATTTTTGAGGCAAAATATCTGACTAATTAAACAATGCATCCCTTTAACAGACTGCATACCTGAAATCAGCACAAAAAGTTGTCCTAGAATGGAAGGGTTTCATGGCTGTCTAGACAGTACATGGATAATATCATGCTCATTTGAAATCAATAATATAGTAAACACAATTTTATTGCACAATCTTGCACTTAGGCCATTTTTTGGGCAAAATATCTTACTAATTAAACAATTTATCCCTTTAACAAACTGTATAACTGCAATCAGCTCAAAAAGTTGTGTTAGAATGAAAGGTTTCATGGCTCTAGACAGTACACGGATAATATTATGCTCATTTGAAATCAACAGTAAATACAATTTTATTGCGCAATTCTTGCACTTGGGCCATTTTTGGGGGGACATATCTTACTAATGAAACACTATATTCCTTAACGAACTGCATGCCTGAAATAAGCACATAAAGTTGTTTTAGAATTATAAGTTTCAAGGGTTTAGGCAGATTATTTTTAATATTATCGTTATTCAAAAATTAATTTTATCACATTTACGCACTGATACTGTCACAAATTGAAAAATATACCCCTTTTCAAATCGCTTTTTAAACATGAAGGGATAAAGACACCAAGCTGATATTTGGAACATCTGATCACCATATATGAATTAATTAATGGTGCAAGTTTTAACAACAAGCGTACTTGCCCACAGGGTCAAAGGTCACCATGAAAACGAGGCATTTTTGTGCATTTTTTGTCCCGAATGACCTTTTGACCTACGATTACCCCCTAAAAGTTAAAAATCCGGAATTTTTTGTGGTGAAACATTTGCAACTATATATTAATAATTTGGTGCATAAGACCCATTTAATAACTGATTTGGGTATTTTAATTGGGTCTAAAAATGGAAGAAAAATTACGCAACCAAATAAGTTTGGGTGTTTACGAACCAATATTTTCGTAACAGGGTCCGGTATACCAAAAGTCATGTCATACGCAAGCTCGGTGGTCTAGAGGTATGATGCCAGGCTCGTGATCTGGAGATCGTGGGTTCGAGTCCCACCCGAGAACAACTTGCGATTTTTTTCGCAGTTGTTTTCAAATGTATTGAATATTCGGTACATTTCCACGTCAGGTAGGGCAAAAATTACACCTATACATGTTTCTCCTGATGCAAATCCAGTTATTGTTTATTATTCCATCACGACAATAACAATTACTATCAACACTGCTTACTTGGACTCGAATTCAACCCTGGCCATCA